TTTTTTTTTTTTTTTTTTTTTTTTTTTTTTTTTTTTTTTTTTTTTTTTTTTTTTTTCATAATCGGTTTTCCCAACAGATGGGTGGTCGTGCATTGGAATTGGCTGGGTGTTGTTGTTGTTTTTGTTGTCATCGGATTATGAGATTAAAAAAAAAAGTATATTACAGATTGCGGTAGGTGATTTTTTCGCACGTCGATCGATTTATCGGTATTACGATCGCGATCTCGGGCCGGTGATTTGGTAGGTTGTGAGGCAGAAAATTAATTTTGGCTCAGCGATTACACGGGTCATTATATTTGTTTATTTTTTTTTTTTTTTTTAGGTATGCTTATAATCCCAGATCGATCGAGACAAATTTTTTTTCTGCCCATAAGAGGATGACCGATGGTTACAATGGGCGAAAAGACGACGTTGTTTGGGAATTGGGTGAACATTTTATATCGACAAAAATTAATAGTATGGATGACGGTTACGATAACGGTGCCAACTGTTATTTTTAACGCCCACGCGAGGAACGGCGAATGCGCCCTGCACTTGTATTTATGACTACGACGCCAGTACGACCGAAAATTATTGTTATTATTTTCTTTGGCGCGAGTTAGGGGATTACGTTTTTTTACGAAATCTGTATACGATTTATTGTTAAAACGTTTACATAAAAAAAGTTCATTATTTTTGGCTTCGGTTTGTGATATTTATTGTGGTACAAAAGGAAACGCATATTTGTAACAAATTGCAATATTTTAAGAAGAAAATTGATTAGCCAGAAGCGCTGATAAGTAAATTTTACAGGTATACAAATGCTTTGCAAGTCACGCATGAATTACATGTTATTGCTCGTGAAATGATCTCATTTAATTTCATCATAAGATGTTCGTATGGATTCAAAAAACAAGAAATAAAATAAAATAAGTAAGGTAATCTGATCATTTCGTAAAAATATATTCACAAATTATAATTAATGATAACTCAAAAGTCTCTTTTAAAGTAAAATTCATTAAAAACTCGTACAGAAAGTCCAAATTTTTAAAAACGTTTAGGTAACAAACGTCACTTAATACATTGGTTAATCTGATATTTTTTGCCACTGCACGAAATAACGTTTAGCACACTTAAATATTTAAAAAATAAAAAATAAACGCAACAATTATCCTTAAAAAAGTATGCCACGATTTTAACCAAAAAAAAATAAAAGTCAATTCATCAAAGGACATAGAAATAAAATATTTTTTAAACAATAATCGGACACATTGACGATGAAAACTACTCTGAAAATTCATCCGACAACAACAACAACACCATGCAACTTCCAAGCAGTGCCGGGGAAGCCGAAAAACGAAAGAAAAAAACCCATCAGCTGCCGATACTTGCGTGCACATGTTATAGCCGCCCGTATATCTGCCGATTTGCCAAACACCACGCGCACACTAGACACGCCGGGAATAAAACCGCGCGCTTCGGACCGATCGGGTATATTATCTCCTATCTTATTATCGTTGGTATAAATATACCTTAGTAAAATCGTTATCGGCTTCCAAGCCGTACATCGCTGACGTCCGTAGTAGCTGTCAGTTTCGAGCGGAAAATTTAATGAGGGAACCGGATGATTAAGCTCGCGAACCCTGCGTCAATGATCAGCTTCATGTGAAATCGATAGCAGAACCAGCGGGAAACCAAGCGATGGGACGATTAATGGAATTCACGATATATGATGATTGCTCGATCGCGATATATCGGATTAATCGGTTTGAGAAGGAAAAAATGTATAATTAGCGCGCGAGAGTTTTTTCTTCGGAATGTATATAATCGTAATTATCACGAGCAGGTGGGAAAAAAGATGATGCTAGATTTTTGAGCTTCGATGATTCATCTTATTGGTAATATCAACAATGAAAAAATTTTGCTTTTTCGTTTGAATGAGTGTATATACATGTGTATACGCGATATTGCAAAACCAACAGATTTTTCTCGGGGCACCGGTTTTTGCGTTCGCACACGGGTAATTTGTTATTCAAAGCCGGAAAAATTGCTTCTTCAAATCGTAATACTATATGGTCGGGTAAATATAAATCATTAGACAAAGGTTTGCAATATTTCACGAGCGTTGCGTCATTTGCAATGAGATCATGTTGTGTAGTTTATTTAAACCTGTGACATTTTGACATTTGAAATGTATATAGTCCATCGTGATATGTCATTTTTATTGGATAGTTGCAGTCGAAATTTTATTTGAATTCGACGTACTTTTCATTGTTTCATTTGTTGAAAAAAAAATTTTTTTTTTTAATTTTTANATCAATTATTTATGATTTTTTTTTGTTTCCCTGACATCGTATCGGTGTCCATTTGACGTCATGGAATGATGTATGGGGCTGATCGTAAAATTAATTCTCAACTGAAATTGAAACAGTTGACTAGAAAAAAAAAAAAAAAAAAAAAAAAAAAAAAACTCACCTGTATGAGAACGAGGTTTCCGACGATCATGTACCACTGCTGCTTGGGCGTGTCCATGTGGCCGAGGTTCGCCTGCGTGGACAGCCGCGACGCCAGTGTCATTTCCAAGTTGCCCTTGAGCCCAAGAAGCGCAGGTACCAAGATCATCAGCTCGTTCACTTTTTCGAAGACCACCCAATACTGTGACAACGAGGTTTTTTTTTTTTTTTTTTTTACAATTTACAAGCACTCGTATTTTTTGTCGTTGTTGCTACGTCTGATGTAATTTTGATTTTTCTACTTGCGAGACAATAAGCGTCTCTCTATTCAATGGGTTGGACTGTTTTCAGAATTGAAAGGATGAGTAATACTATAAATACCATGAAAAACTACGCATACATGTGAACAAAAGAGGGACGTAAATTGTTAGCTTAAAAATTATCATCAAGACGTCCCGGTATGCTATTGTACGGATTGCAGCACCTTTGAATGAAAATCCAATATTTTACCGTACACTTGCTTATTTTCTTTTTTTTTTAAATGAATTCCCATCGAGTTGAATGAAAAGACGTCCACCCTTTTTCTACTGTTATTATTTATTTAGTGTTTTTATTTTTTTTGACAGACGCAATGTAAAAAAAAAAAAAAAAAAAATCCAATAGCCAACCCCCAACTACTCAAACAAGAGTACATCCTTTACATAATGACCCGAACGTAATCTAAGCTTGCGATATCCGAGAAGCAGCGCTACACATACACAGGACAACGCGTGCGCGTAGATTAGACGCGGCTCCGAGTGCAACGTAAGAATATCGGCGTGGATGTAATTTGACTTTATGATCACCGCCGGTTGATTTATTCGTCTCATAGTGGCAAAGTACCCAACGCGAAGCCTCGCCCTCTGATACATAGAGATACCGAGCTAGAAGGAGAGATCATTTTCATACCCGTACTCTCGCGTGTTCCATCCTTACAATGCTGCATCAACTTTTACGACAATTAAACGTGTCCCAATGTATATATCTATATACAACGGTGCTTCAGTAATATGTTTATGAGCCGTTTGTGCAATAGTTAGACGAAGCGTGAGCTTTTAACGACAGGTGGAACTGAAGTGAAACGACGCTCGGAGAGCTTTGGAAAGGTGAGATCGATTATGCGCTTGACATTTTAGCACGGCTGTCCGGTTGTTACATAACTGAGGGTTTGTCTGGCTGTTTCGTACTTGTAACTTGACGCTTTTCAATGAATAAAGTTTCGATACATTTTTTTATTTTATTTATTTTTTCCTATTCATCATGTAAAAAGCGACAAAAGAGCTTTTCAAAATTGACGTTTCATTGGAGTATGTCAGAGTCATCAAACTGATCGAATGTGATCCAACTGGAAACTCATGTGCTTATCAGTCATCGATCGTATCGTAATAGTTTTATCGCGAAGCTTCCACTACTTTATTCGAATACTTTATGTAATAATTTCATATACAGGCTTTTTTTTTTTTCTTTTCATTACCTTCGAGCTTAATGAGGTATAGTTACAGTCAATCACACGGTGAATAGACTACATCATTTTAGATTATTTTACATTATTGGAAGGCAAAAAATTAATCAGTGGAGGATAAAAAGTTAGTTTGATCGGATGGGTATTTAAAATCAATATTATCCAACGCGAGTGCTGAGCACGTGTGTGATATAAATGTTAATCACCGCAACGTGACAATTATCAATTATTTATGATTTTTTTTTGTTTCCCTGACATCGTATCGGTGTCCATTTGACGTCATGGAATGATGTATGGGGCTGATCGTAAAATTAATTCTCAACTGAAATTGAAACAGTTGACTAGAAAAAAAAAAAAAAAAAAAAAAAAAAAAAAAAAAAAAAAAAAAAAAAAAAAAAAAAA